TAAGGGCTGTTTTCAGGCTGGGACTGAAGCTCCCAACCGCTCCTTTTTTTCTTTTATTTTTTTTTAATTCTGGGCCAGTTTTAGCTCTGAGGCCTTGGCTGCTGAAAGCAGGTATCTGATTTGTTTGGGTTCTATAATCGAAACACTGTTTCAGCTCCAGCTCTGAGATCCCAGCTGGCTGAAAGCAGGTTTCTGGAGTTTGTTTAGCTTCTTTATTTGTAACAATGTTTCAAACTGCAAGCTCAGAGGCCGGCGGCTGCAGTCGGGGAACGTTGGTTTCCTGCGTCACTGAAGCAAGCAAGCCTCATGTTAGTTTCAAGCTGCCTGGCTGCCGGCCGCCATCTTGGCTGCCAGTTAATTTGCATATCTCGCTGATTAGCCAATGGGAAGGGTAGTGGTCGTACGTCAATTACCATGTTTCTCTTTTATTAGTGTAGATATACACACACACACACACACACACACACACAGAGTAGGTCCTCAGGTTACGTCAGAGATCCGTTTCTATGGCATGACGTAACGTGATTTTAGCCATAAGTCAGAACCCACCTACATAAGCACCTACGTCACTCACATGGAGCACATACACAAACCGGCAGTCAGACATCCCTCTCACAATCCGGGACCGCTGGGTCCTAACCCTTGCCTACCTGCCTGCCTGATCAGCCTGATTGCCCCCTAACTGCTCCCCTACCAGCCTGATCACCCCCTAACTGAGCCTTGGGCGATTGGGCAGCCACCATCCCCAGCTTGCCTGAACTCGCAGCTGCCATCCCCAGCTTTCCTGAGCCTCGGGCCGGCTCTGGGCAGCAGCAGCCGCCATCCATGGCTTGCCTGAGCCACGGCTTTGTCCAGAAGGACATCCAAATGGTCATCCAGAATACGTCCAGTCTAATTAGCATACTACCCTTTTATTATTATAGCTGTCACCCCAATAAATTCAATGAAAAAGAAAAACACATAAAATAAAATGCATTTTCCTATTAAGTGGGTGGTGGGGTGGAAGATGGTCTTTTTCCTGAGAGCAGTGAGAAACCATTGAAGAATTTTAACAGGGGAATGACATAATTACATTTACCTCACAGCCATTTTATCTTTACTGCAGTTCTGTAAAGTAAGTACAATGGCAGCCTCATGGAGCTAGCTTGTGGGAAGTTTGGCAACCCTGTATTTTCCATCAGCCACCCCACACAAACATGCATTCTTGTAAGACAAAAAGAATAGCGTGTTTACTATGGAAATGGCCCTTCTAGACAAGTCCTTAAGCACTTCTTCCTAACACCTCTGGGTTTGGACCTGCCACTAAGTGTGTACCATTATTATTGTTCCAGAGGAAGAAATTGAGGTTTAGAAGGATTAACTAACTTATCCAAGACCAAAGACCAAACAACTAGCGAGTTTCAGAGAAAGGATCTAAACCAAATCTGACCAGAGTTCTTGTAACAGACATGGTCAGTGTTCCTCCCATATCCCCTTGGCCCACTGGGGGGGGGGGGCGGGGGGGTCACCTGCAGATGGTTTCCCAACGTGCCTACAGGCTTCCTGCAGATCTTTGTGTGGGCCTTCACCGGCCACTGGCATCCACTTGACCTGTGCCCAGAGATGTAACCTCAAAGAAGTGACACTCCATCATAAGGACAGGAATTTGGGAAACAGCCCAGCCTCTTCGCCCCTCACTCAGATTCTGAGTTATGCTCCACAAAGTCAGACGGTGCCAGCAGAAATGAGACTCAGCTGCCCACAGAGGTAACCTGACCATTAA